GATTACCACTTGTTGGACTTTTATTCTGACTTGTACTATATCATTAAATTTGCTGCCTCTTAAAATCCAGGTTACCTCTGGAATCTTCAGGTGAAACTCCAGCCCATAGTAAATCTGTTGCCAGATAAAGGAAGATTAATGGACTTTCTTCTCCAGAGGAAGGAGTGCAAGATGGTCATCCTGTCTGTCTGTTCACAGAGTAAGCTAAAGAATCCTCCTTTGTTAGTCTTGTTTCCATAGTAGGCTTGTGCTGCCACCATCCTCCCCGTTATGGGGAGGTAACACAAGGTCTACAACCTATAGACTTGTTTTGTTAATTGAAAGATGGCTTATGTAATCCCTTGGATAGGCTGAGAAATAAACATGGTTTGTAGAGAATTCAGTAGAAAAGACTAGAAAATTGATAGTTCCAGATGAAAGCAGACTTGAAAATGAGCATACACAATGGAGTGGGCCCTTTACCTCTAGTGTTAAAACAAATATCTTCCAGAATCCGAGTCATGAACTGCAGATATTGCTGCTTGAAGAATGTCCTGAGCCAGGTGTGGTGGTGCACACCTGTGGTTCCAGTATTTGAGAGGCTAAGGCAGAAGAGCCCATGAATTTGAGACCAGCCTGGAAAACATAGTGAAACCCTATTTCAAAGCTTTAAAAAAAAATACCCCAAACCCCAAATCATCTTCTAGTATCTTGCCTTAGCTATTTTTTACGAGATTTTTCAGTTGCTGGTTCTATAAAATATAACATTTCTTTGGGCTGAGGTTGTGCCTCAGTGGTAGAATGCTTGCCTAGCACGAGTGAGGCCCTGGGTTCAATCCTCAGCACCTCATAAAAATAAAGATATTGTGTCCATCTACAACTAAAAATAAATATTTAAAAAATATATGTAACATTTCTTTGAACGCCCTTTAAAAGAATGTTATCAGCAACCTTTTGAGATTAAGAGTCATCAGCAAAACGCTGAAATTCCAAAGATTACATAGTCGGTTTGATTTTGTATTGTATTCTTTCCAGTGTTGAGTGAGTCAGACAGAGCCACACTGCCTGTGATAGCCACTGTGTTTGATAAACTCAACCATGAGTATAAAAAGTACCTGGATGCTGAGCAGAGTTACGTGATGGTAAGTTAGATACTTTATAACCAAGCCCTGTTTTAGTCAGCGTTTTCATTGCTGTGACCAAAACACCTGACAGGAACGATTTTAGAGAAGGGAAAGTTTATTTGGGGCTCATGGTTTCAGAGGTCTCAGTCTATAGATGGCTGTTTCACAATCTAATCCTTTTATTGAGCATTCCTGCATTGACACAGGAGCTTTTGAGTGAGACCTCGAATCCAACCCCCTAATTCCTCAGCCATTAAAATGCAAGATTTTGATAGCATAAAGTCACTGAGGTTTGATGTGTGCAGAGGGCAGGGTGGCAATAGGACATGCAGTGTGCCATCTCATTTTTGCCTTGCTTTTTTTTTTTTTTAGTAGTTGTAGATGGACAGAATGCCTTTATTTTAAATTTTTATGTGGTGCTGAGGATTGAACCCAATGCCTCACACATGCTAGGCAAGCGCTTTGTTACTGAGCTACAGCCTCAGCCCTTTGCCTTGCTTTTTAACCAATGTTTTGATCTTACACATAAACAGGTCCTTGTACATTGCTAGAGCTTGGACTTAGCAATTAGAAATGCAGTTTCCATTATTTATCACACCTCTTCCTTTTGCTTTAGGATGTAATAAGTACAAAAATAAGATTTATCCTAGAATTCCATCAGTATCCTGAGCAGACTGATGCTTTTCAGTTTGTAGTGAGGGGCTAGAAATAATGAACATGGCTTATGACCAGGTACTGTACTATTGGTGCATCATGTTTTCTGAAGCAAGAAAGAAAAGTTTAGGACAAGCAGGAGAAATTATTTCACATCAAGTGCCTGATTAGTCCTAATGCTGGAAGTGGTTTTAAACAACACGCACAGAACTCCCCTTTAGCTCTTCAAGGGCAGCAGGTCTGAAGCAGGCTGCTGAAGGAGGCGGGCTGCCTGGATCACCTCTCTGCCCCATCCCGTCAGCCACGAGGTATGGCTGAGCTTTCCCAGACCCCTCTGCTGTTGGTGTCTTGGGCTGTGGCAGTCAGAAGGTCTGCCCCCAGATGGCAGTTCTGGGCTTCCCTACATGGCCACCAGGTTTCACAGACTCAGCATTTGTGGGTGCAGCCCACTCATGGAGATGGCAAGCACCTGGAGCTATAGAAATGTGGGGTCTCAGGCTGCACCCACAGCTACTGCAGAACATGCATGAGTCTATACCGTGTTGAAACATGAGGCAAAATAGTCAAGGACTTCTCACAGCATGGTCTCTCCCATCTTAGTCATATTTGGGGAGCTGGGGCTTTCCGTGAAAAATCCTGACATACTGCGCTGGGGTTGTGGCTCAGCGGCAGAGTGCTTGCCTAGCATGTGCGAGGCGCTGGGTTCGATCCTCAGCACCACATTAAAAATAAATAAAATAAAGATATTGTGTCAACTACAACTAAAAAAATATTTTTAAAAAATCCGATATACTAGGCTAGGGGTGTAGCTCAATGGCAGAGTACTTGCCTAACGTACATGAGGTCCTGGGTTCCATCCCTAGCGTCACAACAAAAGAAAAAGTTTAAAAAAAAGATCCCAATATTCTCATTGCAACCTTTATTGTCAGAGCTTCATAAAACAAGCTAGCCATTTTGTTTTATTGGTTAACAAATGCCATAGTTTAGGATTAAGAATATTAAGGAGGTTGAAAGTTTTCAGAGATTAAAAAGAGTATGATGTATCTGAAGAGAAAAGCGTGACTTAGGCTTATATAGTTTCACCTACCATGGATCCACCCTCAATATTTCCAAAATGATCAACTCTGACCTGCCACCATCCCAAGTTGGCACAGGAAGTTTTCTCTAAATAGTGATATTGTCCTCTGTCTTGTCTTAGGTTTCCATCATGGAATTTCAGTCTTTGGGGATTAACTGTAATTGGTACCATTTCTCTAGAAGACAGCTAATAAGTTCAACACCTGTGATTTATCCCTTTAGGCAGTAGAAGCAGGGCAGAGCCGGAGCAACCCGCCTCTCAAAAGGCCCACCCGGACCCAGGCTGTGGTGGACCAGTCTGACATGTACACCCATGTGCTGTCAGCATTCGCCGAAAATAAGGTGCTACAGCTTTTCAGCCTTTTTGGGACCAAGAATTCTCCAAATGGGTTGTTGTGGGGAAGTAGTAGAAATCACACTCTGACTAGGCGAGCTGGAGCCGCTTTGGGTGATGGCCTTTGCTGGTACTTTGGTTTCTAATATCAGAACTCATGGAATTGCCCTTCATGTGGTTCTGAGATCAGTGCAAAACCAAACTGGGCCATTTTACTCTGGGCACAAGTACAGGGTAGGATAAAAGAGTTATATGTAGTTCCTTTTGTTAATTCTGGTGCTTAAAAATCCACTCTTCTCTCTGTAGGAGATGCCACATAAATTTGTGATAGCTGTGCTGATGGAATATATTCGCTCTCTTAACCAGTTTCAGATTACAGTACAGGTAACTTTATTGGCATTTGTCATCCTAAGAGGAATTAAATAAAAGCACTTTCAGTCTTAGATGACAATTTTACTCACTAGAAGGGTCTGCATACCTGACACAGAACTTTGAGTGACTTGAACATCCCCCATTGTTGAGTTGGAATGAAAGTGTAATGTCAAGTTGGGTTGAAACCATTTCTCGTCATAACTGAAACATTTGCCCAAGTCAGTGGCTGCCTGCAGTCCTCAGGCAGTGCCTCGTCTGTCATAGTTAAGCCACTGGAAATGTCCTTCTGTTTTGTTCCCAGCATTACTTACATGAACTTGTCATCAAGACGCTTGTCCAGCACAACCGCTTTTACATGCTGCACCAGTTCCTGCAGTACCATGTGCTCAGCGACTCCAAACCTTTGGTGTGTATCACCAGATTTTTATTCTTGTTGTGATTAAAAGCTTAAAATATTACTTCCAACTGAGGCTCGTCTGAAACTGTCTTGCAGGCTTGTCTGCTGCTGTCCCTCGAGAGTTTTTACCCTCCTGCTCATCAGCTGTCTCTGGATATGCTGAAGGTAATGCAGGTCTGTCACAGCTTCAGTCAGCACAAGTGTTTTTGTCACTTGCTCTGATCTGCACTTCTCTCTCCTTTCCAGCGACTTTCAACAGCCAATGACGAGATAGTAGAAGTTCTTCTGTCCAAACACCAGGTATTAGCTGCCTTGAGGTTTATCCGGGGCATTGGTGGCCATGACAACATATCTGCACGGAAATTTTTAGATGCTGCAAAGCAGACTGAAGACAACATGCTTTTCTATACTATATTTCGGTTTTTTGAACAGCGAAACCAGCGTTTGCGAGGAAACCCTAATTTTACACCAGGTGAGTATACTTGCTAGGGGAAAACCTGGGGTAACTGTAAACCTGGGTAACTTTATCACTATCCAAATAGTGATAAAATCTAGTAGCAGGAACCCGATGTGGGTGGGCAGCTTTTGTGTAAGGAGGATTCCTGTTAGCTTTTCTGGAAATGAAAGTTCTTAACAACAGCTAACCTAGCCTGTGGTCTAAACTTTGGATTCATCACATGGGTGTAATTAATGTGAATTAATTACACTTTGGAACTCACAGCAGAGGTGTTTTGGGTTGAGACATTCAGGAACAAGAGAGCAAACTGTGGCCTAAGGGTTTTAAACGATTCTTGCCTAAAATGGAAGCATTCTTTTAGTAAGCCTTGAAACACTGGCTAATAACTCATCTCCAAATAGTGATAAAATATAAGACATTTCTTCTTAGGACGGACTCCAATTTAGGACTGCCAACCTTTTCTCTTAGCATCCAGTGCAAGATGGTACTGACCCCAACAACGGGTGCAAATCACTTCCATTTAGTTTTTTTGCTCATCTGAGCACATGGTGACTTGCTAGGAATTATGAAGGTACTAGTTCTGTAGTAGAAAGGGCAACCCCAAAAGTTAGGAAAACAGGTATTTTATTAAAGAAAAATAAGTTAAAACCCAGTATACAATCTGTGAGCTACATTTTCTTGTTTTCCTTTCCTGTCACACCTAATAGTGATTAAATCTCTATTTTCCTTCATAGGAGAACACTGTGAAGAACATGTTGCTTTTTTCAAACAGGTTTTTGGAGACCAAGCTCTAATGAGGCCTACAACATTCTAGGCTTTTTTATATATATATATATATAAAAATGTGTACAAAGTTAATTTATTGCATTAATAAAGCTCTTAAACTACAAAATTTCATAATAAAGTATATCTACAATATCCTCAAATGTTACTAAAAAATATGGTATAGAATGTGTATGATGGCTTACTCCCCCAAAAAAGGAGCCAGTGTGTAGATTGGCCTTTAAACAGTGTTCATGAGCAGATCACATTCACAATTACCCTACATGTCATTCTTGTCAAACATGAGGTTTCTTTCCTGAAGGACTAGGTGGGGGGTGGGGGAGGCTTTAGTATCCCAAAGGTCCCTTCAGATTTCATAATACTGCTTCACAAGTCACCAAGTCACATGCACATTCCTGAGTTTAAAAGCAGGACATCTGAAGCTCTGTCCAACAGCCCCAGGCCTGGAACATCGGGTGTTCAGCTCAGTCTTGATGATGCAGTTACTGTCCAGTGGTAAACAGACCGACCCCTTGACACAGTTCAAAGTCACAAACCCTTGAAGAAGGCTAGAAATTTAGGAGTCGTTCTCGCTCTGTGCCTTTGTACCGATCTTGGGTGGTGCGACTTTTGGCTTTATTTAATGATGGGCCTATGAAAGAGAGAAATAATATTTGTTATTTCTTCAGGAGAAAAGGAGATAGTTTATACTGGATTGCAATAGTCTGTCCCCTAGGGATAGAGAAAAGTCCCTCAGTTACAAAGGTACAAGGCAAATAATAATGTTGTCCTTTCAACCAGGGGACATTTGTACAAGATATAGTAACCACAGAAGTAAACAGATCATAAAGGAGTAGTGGAAGTCAAGGCCTTTTGCTAAAAATCTTCATCACAGGGGAAAGAACAGCTGTTGTAACTGCTGGGCTCATTCCTCAGCAGTGGGAGGGCATCCTGGCCTGCTATCATGCAAATTAATTCAAAGATCAGACTTTAGCTTTTGTTAAGCAGACAAATAAAAAAAAAATGTTCACAATTTACTAATGAAATAGTTTGGATATTCCTGAATCCCTGGACAGAACTTTTTTCCTTTAAAAAGAATTTCTACTTAGTAATATCTATCAGATGACCAACCATAGTACAAGTTCAAATACTATAAAACAGTGCTTAAGAAGTCTTACCTATATAACTAAGTAAGACAGGGAGAAATATTAGTCCATGAGTGGCTCCCAGTAAGACCATAGCTAAATACATCCTGAAGTAAAATATCTGGAAAATCTGGGATTTGGCAAAGGCCAACACCACAATTCCTCCGAATTTTGTAAGTGTGATTCCGCTGAATACCTAAAAGAAGAGACAGTGTTACAAACTCTTTTTATCAACTTTTAACTGAACACTTCATAATACAAAGATGTCTTAGAATTCAATATCCAAAGAAATGTGAGACAGTTTTGAGAGGTACTGGGAAGTAGCATTATTGTCTACCTAAATTTTAGTCTTTACTCTTTTTAAAAAATTTTTGTACTGGGGATTAAACCCAGGGGAACTTAAGCACTGAGCCACATCTCTATCCCTTTTATTTTTTATTTTGAGGCAGTTGCATAGGGCCTCACTAATTTGCTCACACTTGCCATCCCCTTGCCTCAGCCTCCAAAGTGGTTGGCATGCATCTGGCAATCTTTATTCTTTAATTGATATTATAAATTGATAAACTAGAGTTGGACTAAGACTCTGCAGACACCCACTACAGGCTGCCGGCTTGGTTCTGGGACGAGGCAGCTCTTGCTGGTCAACACACCATGCTGGCTTCCTGCGCTCTCAAATCTTTCTTAATATGCTTGAGCTATCCTGCTACCTAAAAAGGAGTCATACAAACATGACTGTAAAGAATTTCAGGTCTGTACAATACACAGCTATTTCATGAATTGCCTGACAACTTACAGGAGCTACTTAGTACCTGTAAGGTCCAGTAAAAGATCGAAATAGTTTTTTTTTTTTTTTTTAATTTTTATTAGTTGTTGATGGACCTTTATTTTATTTATATTTATATGTGGTGCTGAGAATCAAACCCAGTACCTCACACATGCTGGTCAAGCTCTCTACCACTGAGCCACAACTCCAGCCCAGAAAACAGCTTTACCCACTGAATTTTAAAGTTTCTTCTCAGAAAGTCATCGAGCATGCACCCCATCCTGCCACTCCTGCTGTGTACACCCACAGAGTATACTCACAGAACTGCCCATGAGAGCGAGCGCCTCTTCAGCACGGTCCACGCGGCTTCCTTTTGCACTCACTGTGAATGCTCTTGTTACGTGGCTGCAGAACTCCACGGAAATGCCACAGCTCTAGAATAAAGTACTTACATGAGAATGGCTCTTTTCTAGTTGAAAATCCTGAGCCACCTCCCCTTCCCTAAAATGGGGGTTTGCCAGGGGACCTGGGTGCTGGAGGACCCCCCTTTCTAAAAAAAATATTTATTTTATAGTTGTAGTTGGACACAATACCTTCATTTTAATGTGGTGCTAAGGACCTTGCATGTGCTAGGCCAGTGCTCTACCACTGAGCCACAACCTCAGCGCCCTCTCAAGCAGCCCTTTTGACTACAAAGTTCCCATCACACCTACCTAAATGGTGGCAGGAAACCTTGGAACCCTCTAAGCACCACCCAGTGCACCAGTTTTCTACAGCATGTTTGCTCTGTTAGGGGAAGTTGCTGGAACCTCTCAAGGTTGGCCCCACTACACCCCACTGAGCAAGCACACTGTCTTCTTGTAATTAGGCCCCACTACCACTCTGAAAGGGTTACTATCTGAAAATACTGATACAGTTTCTATCTTCCATTAATACCTTCCTGAATGCTCACTTCTTCAAGATTTTATTAAAAAGCACCTGGCAACTATATGGGATGCCCTGTTGGGAAGACAAGGACAATTTTCTGTAAAGTAAATATCCTGCTGTCATCAGGCTACATGCTTTTGCAGTGCCTTCGGATAATAAAAGCAGAATACCCATGCCAGACGGTGGGGTCACATTGCCATTGGCACAGATGTCATGAACCACACTATTTACTATAGCTGCAAAGGGATTAGAGGAAACAATGGGAGGGAACAGATTACCTTTAATGTGTTTCTGCTCCTGGCTTCTGCCTCTCTGTGCCCTGTCCTGATTCCTCCCACCTCTCCTTAAGCACCAAGAGTAAGAGGCAGACTTGCTATTTTACTCCATATAGGGTTATATGAAATTCAGGAAACCATTCATGTGAGTGACGGGAGCTAGGGACAAAATGAGAGTGGACGAGGACTCACCATCACCAGGTTGACTAAGGACACTGCGTTCAGACTGATGCCCCACAGCCACATCACGCCAAACATGTTGACCAGGATCATGGCGATGGTGACACACATGATGACTGCAGACCACAGTTCACAGCCCAGAACAATCACGGTCACCAGAAAGATGGACCCCAGGGACACACCAAGGTTAAAGATGGTGTCATCAATGATGGTCAGGTACTGTTCGTAGAAGACGTAGAACACACTGGGGAGGAAGGGGGACATTCCGTTACAGCTTACACTCACTCCTGGGAGCCCCACCCTGGACCACTGTCACTCCTGCAAAGCTGGGACACTTGGAGACATCCTTGCAGAACACCTCCCTCGTTTCTGCACCACTCATGTACAGTAATTCATCTGGATCTCTGATGGCCACTGACACCCAAAGAAGGGCCTCATGTTTTGTTCTATATAAGGTTTTTTTAAATATTTATTTTTTAGCTTTAGGTAGACACAATATCTTTATTTTATTTTTATGTGGTGCTGAGGATAGAACCCAGTGCCTCACACATGCCTGGCGAGTGTGTTACTACTTGAGCCATATCCCCAGCCCCCTGTATAAAGTTTTTGATTCAAAGCCCAAACTATATTACCTTACAGCTATTGACAAAAAGCATTCCATAGTATTTTCAGAAAAAAAGGTCCAGATCTGACCTGGGAACTACCTCAGGCTATTTTTACCCCTAAAAGTTAATCAGTGCTTCCCAGGAATTAGGACATACATTTTTAAGGACTTCTTCCCCAGGGATCATGGTGGTGGTTTAAAAAAAAAAGCTACTTGTTTCTTTTACCATTCTCTATTTCCCCAATTCAGTATTTAATATATAATACATTCCTTGGCAGGAAAAAATAATAAATAAACCATTCAAATGAAAAGTCCATTTAAAAGCACCGAGAAATCCCAGTCAGGAATACCCAACAGCTGCTCTCTAGGTGCGCCAGGGCAGCCCTTCCCTGAGGCAGCACCCCTGCCTGGGGTCTCGTTGGGGCTGTGAGGCAGCATGAACCAAGTGCAGTTTGTAGTTCTCAGAGGCTCAAGGTTCTAGTTCCAAGATGGAGCAAGTATCAGAATCCAAGCTGAAGACCAGCATCCCCCTAAGAGACAGACCCTTCTCCAGGAAACCCTTCTTTATAAAAATCCACATTTTACCTGTATGGGAACACCCGGTAATTACTGCCCTTCGTGCTCATGGTTTCAGTGATGTTACTGGCCACAAGTCGGGCTTTTTTCATAGCATCAATAAAGTCAGCGGAGGTCTGCAGCACGGTGTGGTAGGTCATGAAGTATGTGGCTCCAATGCCAGTATTATTGCCAAGGATGTTAACCGCTGAGCTGTAAGCTGCATGTCCCCTGGGAAAGAGTGGGTGTCAGAGAGGCCAGCCTTGCAAACTGGGCAGAATTTGAGCACTCCAGGCTAAGTGACCAGGCTCAGAAGCCAGACACAGTTGTACAGTTTGCAGATGAAAAAGGTGTCCTGATGAGGGGGTGCAGAAGCTCTGGCTTGTTCTCGCCCAGACCGGCTTTTCTTTATTGCTGTGGTTTCTCTGGTGCTTGGTAGCTATTATTTTTCTATCTGATTCTGCTCTTAAACAAACATGCTCTGATACGGAGTTTACTTAGTGCTGCTGTGTAACAGGAGGCAGGGAAGGGCCAAGACCTGGACTTGACCTCGGCCTGCTGCATTTGGTCCTGAAACCCTGGCAAGGTTCCCTCACCCAAGCTTTAGCCTCCCCCTTGGCATCACCAGCTCCAGCGCCACAGGCTGCAGGCCGGATGGGCAGTTCTGCACAGCGGGTGCCCCCGGCTGCCTTTGTTACAACTGAGCTCATCTCAGCTGGTATTATGTAGGCCAAAGCACTCAGGAACCAAGTTGCAAGACTCATTTCTCTTTTATTTTTTAGGGACAGTCTTCCCGTGGGACCTAGTACAGGTTTTAAAACACAGACACGATACATACGATTAACTGATGTGACTCAAGTAAAAAATGGATCCTTATGAAAAAACAAGTATGTTCAGTTAAACTCACATACATGTGGATGCGTCTTCCAAGCCACAAAAATTTCCAAATCAACCCCCAATCTTCTTCACTATTTCCAAGTCAGATATCCTGCACTGTGGGCAACTGGCTGGATGGGGAGCGAGAAAGCCCACAGCCTCCTCCTCTACGGCCAGGCTGGCAGGGAGCACGGTGGGGCTAACCGAATCTAAACCATTGTTTTTTGTGGTACTAGGGATCAAATCCAGGGGTGTTCTATCACTGGGCTATGTCCTAGCATTTAAATTTTTTTTTTTTTTTTAAATTTTAAGACAGGGTCTCACTAAGTTGCCAAGGTTGGCCTTGAACTTGGGATCCTACTGTTATAGTCTCCAATGTCCCTGGGATCATGATTATGCATCACTAAACCTTGATCTGGGATAGCATTACCAAAGCAAAGACATGGTCCCTACACCCATTGGCACAAGTGGACAAACCAAGTTCATTCACACTCTGAAATACTGGCATGTCTACCCTCTCCCTCCAGTCCCCTCATAATGTGCACGGAACCAGCACCTATCTGTACATCTAATGGGACAGGACCCGGACAGCAGCGTAAGAAATGAATCCCAAGCCAGGAGGAAATCTGCTGAAAACAGACTTTTTTTTTGTTTTTTTTAAAAGGTGTCTTAAATTTCTTTACTGCCCCAGGATTGGGACAGGATGGCTGAAGGTGGAGAAGATGCCCTTTCCCACCGACTGTCTTAACCCAGCCCTCCCTTAGTTCTCCATTACAAATTAAAGCTGCAGCAGACGCTTATCTGACCTGGCTCAGCAGCACTTACCCTTTGCCACACTTGGGGTTAGGGTTATCAGAGAGAAACATGGGCAGGAATTTCATGAAGTCTCCACCCTGAGGTCTCTGTTTGCCCTCCGGAGTCAGAGGCCTGCAGCGGACGCAGGAAGGGTCAACCACTGGCAGAAACAGAGGGGGAACCAACTGTTAGAAGAAGGGGCCTGCAGATTTTTTTTTTTTTAAATTAGAGACTGAATGATTTTCCTGAATCTTTCCCTTTATCCAAAAGCTTCAGTCACAAGTGACTTTCATTGTTTAATACATTTAATACACAGCTTCATCTTAGGTGGACAATACAGCAGCATTTCCTGCCCTGGTAGGTTTCCTGCTTCATAGATGACAACATGAGTGGTATTATGAGAGCCAGGAACTTCCAGTTCCCATTAAGAAAATTCCAAGACAACCTCAACACTTAAAAACCATCAGGCAACAGTGACAAACCAAGGCAAACATGCCTCTGAGAAGCCAGGGCCAGTGGCCACTCAAAAAAGGCAGAATGAGAACCCTCATCAGGGAACCAGTTCCCTGGAGTGACCTTGTTTGGCCTGCAGCCCCATGGAGGGCTCAGAGAGAAACACGTGGCATGATTCAGAGCTAGTGACAGAGGAGAGGAACAAAGACAAAGGGAATGAATCCCGGAGCTGGCACAGAAACGGGCACACGCTGAGGCAAAATGCAAATGATTTGTAAGTAATGTTAAAATTTTTCAGCAAAAAGGAAAGATCTGGAGAAGGAGGAGAAAATACCTGAAGCGTTGCAGAACTGGTCAGTGATATTGTAGACTCTACAGCAAGTAGACTGTGGCTTAACCCAATCAAAATAATCGTCAATCCAGGACGAGGGAGCAAAGCCTATCCGGGTGCTGGAGAAAGAGGAGGAAAAAAAACAAAAAACAAAAAACAAAAAACTGTTAACTTGCTGCACAGGGAGGAGTCTTTAAATTCAGTACTTTTCCTTAAAACTTAATATCATTTCAATGCTTTATACTGCTATCAGTCAAAAGACAAACTACATTATAACAGTCAAAAAAAACTTTCAAAGGACCAGGTACAAATTAGTTCTTTGAAAGGTTTTGCTTAGGTTAAATTAGACTTAACATGTTTTTGACTAAAAACAACTTTTTCAAGAAAGTCTATTTTCAGTGAGAAATTTCAGGCCCAAGCTGACTAGCTGGGAGCCCCTTCCTACTGCTTCTGCTGAGGCACATGAGGAGCAGGTGGTACTGACTAGTTGTCCAACTGAGCTGCGTTAAATATCTGCTGCACCAAGGAATCGTTGTCACAGCCCATGCCGCCGCACACCATGTTCTGCCCCTGAAGGGATGCATAGTTGTGCCCTTCCTCCAGGACAAAGTACACAGGTGGACCCGAGTGCAGGTACTGACCAAGGGATTTGAAGTAATCTATGACGTAAGAGTCCTGAAAAAAAGACCAAAGAAGGGGAGAGAAAGTATGAATGATCTGATGGTAACTAAGTGAGGTGATGGTCACTGAGAATTCAGAGGGCACCAGCAGGCCCAGACGCCTCCAGCCTGGATTCGTGGTTCTCTTCCTTGGGTTCAAGGGTGCTCTTTCTGCCAGTCCCAATCAGATCAGACCTCCATTCAATGGCCGTGTCCAAAGAGCCCAGAAGGTGAAGGTGGCCCACAGGGACACAGCCTGGTGGCAGTTCTTATATCATGTGATCAACTGTCACCATCGCCTGCTGCCTTTGCACAGAGAAGCAGGCATAACACCCACGTTCATTTACCGAAAACTTTACTCATCACCAGTTAAAGTAAAAAAAATAATAATAAGAAAACATCTTACATCTGGCATTGAAAGAGACTGATCCAATCCAATTTCTACTTTGTTCAGGACGGCGATACTAAATGACAGGACACCCACAAAGACAGCAATCTGGAATGAAAGTGAATTATAAGATGGCAACTGTTATAATATAACAATGAGTTGAAGAAGAGAAATAAAATCAGTCTCTCTCTCCTTCACACACACAAAGCAGGACTTTTCTTTTTCTTTTTTTTTTCAGTGCTGTGAATCCCAGTGGTAGTACATGCAAGGGCTCTACCACTGAGCTACACTTCAAAGCAGGACTTTTCTAAAATCCAGGAATAATTCCAATTTTAGCCTAGTTCCCAACTGATACTAAATGTTCAAAAAATGTTAATATCACTATTGCTTTTTGCAGTTATGGGAAACTACCTTGTGTTCTTTTAGTAGAGAATGGTTACTATCTAGCAATGAGAGGGCGCACCAATGAGGGGTCTGGACAGTGATAGGACAGTTCTAAATCCTGACTACAGTGAAGATCATGGGACCCTGCACAATGTGATAATATCTCAAAACTACACACACATTGTGTCAATATCAAATTCCTGGTTCTGGGGTGCAGGTGTAGCTCCATGGTAGAGCATTTGTTTAGTATGTCCTTCTCAGCACCACACACATACACACACACACACACACACACACACACACACACACACACACACAACACATGTCCTGGTTCTGATGTTGTCCTATAATTATGCAAAATGTACCACTGGGGAAAACTGGGTCCAGGAAACCTGGGTCCCATCTGTACTACCTTTGCAACAGTCTATGAGTTTATAATTATTTAAAAATAAAAAAACTGACAACTCTATTGCTTATTGGGACTGATAAAACCTTGCTAGAAAAGGATTTTACTATTTATACATGTTAAAGCTGTCAGAAATCTGCCTCTTGGGTGGTGTGAGTTCTTCGAAGGCATGAGACACATCTGTCTTGTGGGGAAGAAAGAGAAACCACAGAGGGGGTGCATACCACGATGGGTCGCATCCAGTCCTTCAGCAGAAGTGGAGAGTAGGAGTTTTTGAAGAAGCGAAACAGGCAGCTTTCTGATGCCTGGACGCTGCTTCCATCTTCAGCACCTTTCACACAGCAGAGGATGTCCAGCCGATTTTTCTGAGGGAACAAAGAAGAGCAAAGGTCACAGAAAATACCCTCCTGTGGTTCCTTCATCTAGATTTCAAACACATATTAAACGGACTGTAGCCCTGGTACCAACTTACCTCTTGACGTTGAATGTCTAATCCCAAGAGACTCACGAAACAGGTAATCTGAAGTAGGAAGTCAATGAAGACGGCCAATCCCGCAAACAGAGAGAAAGTGTGGACGGCGGGCATCATCGACAGGGCTCCTACAGGGACAGGAATAGTTCTGCGTCACTCCACTCGCTGCACAGGAGTCTGTGCAAGTCACACTCATGTGGACACAAGAACACAAGGGGCCACATAGGCCTGACCCTTAAGAAGGTAGGCCCCGAAGTCTGCATGGCTGCCACATGGAAACTGGGAGAGGAACGGGGTCTAAGAGCTCAGAGCTTTTCCAAATGATGTCAGCACCAGACCAGCTGGGGAGTACACTCCGGGTCCCAGGCCCTATCCTGCTTAATCAAGACACAATTGCGTACTTCAACCCCAACTCTAATATATTTCACAGGTTTTCAGGCAAATTCATGCATGTTACAATTTGAGAACCATGAAAAATAAGGCTATTTCTCGGAGTAACCTATATGTCTCACTCTGAGAAAGGGACTGTATTTTCCACCTGCTATTGTTTCAACAATGCTCGCCTCCCTGTGAAGTTACAGTAAAGAGAGTTTACAATCAAACGAGGGTGTTCCAGGTCAAAGGTACCAGGGTAAGACTCAAAGGTAAACTGGCAGCCCCTGGCCAGATGTATACTGCTTGGCCCACACTTCAGTGGTCCATTTTAGGATTTTAAAAATATTTCTTAATAATTAGTCAGTATTTGGGCTAGGGGCACAGCCCTAAGGAAGAGCATTTATCTAGCCTGTACAAGGCCCGAGGTTCAATCTCCAGCACTGGAGGAAAAAAAAAAAAAAGTGGTATTTAATAATGAGATAGTTTTAACATAAAAATCTAGATTAACAGTTCTGGAAAAAAAAAAAAAAAAAGAAAAATCAGATCTTACAATCCTGGGCTGGCCACATGTCACTACCTCTTTAGGAGGGATATATGCACTCAAGGTGCCACAGCTTCCTCCCAAACTATCTCCCCAAGATCACTTCAACCTTGAGGCACAGTCTCAGCTGCTAATATCCTTATCCTTGCACGGGTTTTCTAATGATGAAAGTAAAAAGAACTTTTTCTTCTGCACCTGTGTCCGTCAAAAGGAACAACAAAGGCCACAGGTTTCAAAAGCATTCAGCTTTGTGGAAATGAGACTAACATGGTGACAGCATATCTGTGTTCAAAGACTACCATCATTGAAGATCCTACAGTGTCCCTGCTGAAGGTGACCTTGGGACCATGCAGGCACTATGGTCTGTGACCCACAGACAGTATCTTCTCTGGGCTGATGGCTTCTAATCCACCCTCTTCTATTGAGGACAGCTGCTTTTCTCCTCACTCACTACAGAGATGCAGCCGGCAGCCTGACCGGTGAGTCTACTTGGCAATGTCTCCATAGAAAAGAAGTACAGATGGGCTGATTTTTAGTTCCAGCTTATCCCAGCTCCTCGAACTGAAGAAAGATGCATAAACCCCTAGGGGAGGCTGCCTCCCCAGTGTGAGTGGTGTGAACAGGGGGAAGACTTCTACCCAAACACAGCCAGAACATCTTGCAGGCCAATGCCTCTCATAGGAAAGAAGGCACTTCCAAACTGATACCCAAGACACTGTCACCAATTGTTCTTATTCTCCACTCAGTGATAACTTTCCAATTATGGAATAAAAATGACAAAAGGAAGAGCAGGAAGGTGCACAAATCCAAGTACCCAGCTCTTTCTATTCTCAGGCTCAGCAAACTATAGGACTGGTACAATTTAAAGCATAATTACCAAAGAAAAACGCTGAAGTCTCGCAAAAGGATGACAGGAACATACTAGGAGCCACTTCTCCTAGGACCCTGCCCAGTTGTTGATCCAGGGTTTCCCCTTGAAGACGTTCATCTCTCTTAAAAAAAAAAAAAAAAAAATTAAGGATGCAACATTAAAATTTCTCAATAAAATTGCCACCTCTTTGCTTCTTTGTGTTAATTTGATAATATAAAATTATTAGTAGATGATTAGCAGTATAGCTAACCCTATAAACTTCTCAGGTTGAAGCAGGGTATTTCTGAACCACTTCCCAGGTACTAGGTGAGAAACCCAAGGAAAAACTGAATCTGTTATCACAAGAATACAGGAACATAGGCTGCAGGTGGCTGGACCATTAAATGATGCTTCTATGCCCCTGACTCTCCACTCTGGCAGAGACTTCAGGATGACTGACTGGGACTACTTTCTACATCAGCGGGCTGTGTGTTGACTTTGGGTCTTTTTAGTGGTGCTTAGAACAAAACTCTCGTTCTTCTACACTGTGCTGAGAATTATTTTAATAAGCTATGTCCAAAAGTATTCCCAAAATGTTAGCCCTTTTCATGCACATGTGGAAAGATACTTTAAAAATCAAACTTTCACTTTACATCTATGGCACCTACCAAAGACAGGGCTGAAATTCTTGGTTCCAAAATGTCCAAGTCAAATCCAGGACACCCGTGAGCCACAGAAGGCAACAACACAAAGCCTCCTCACTGTCCGCACCTACAAATGCCCAGCTGCTAACAGGCCCCATGCTGGGATGGGATGCTCCCTGGGAAGGCGAAGGCATACCTGGTAGGTCTGCACCAGGATGAAGATGTTGTCCACCCCCACAGCCAGCACCAGGAACGGGATGACTTCAATCACTATGAGGGTCAATGGGGTCCCCATGTAGCTGAAGATACCCAATGAGCAGGCCACCGAGCTCAACACGATCACGATCCCTGTGATGCCTAGGGAGATTTTAGAATCCACCTGAGAGGTGACGAAGACACAAGTTGTCAGTTAGAGGGGTTTTTGCCCATTGATTACTAAAAGGTCCTCATTTTTACTGCTTTACATGGGTCTATCTAACCTAGAATTAAAAGTGTAGCCAGGTGTGGTGGCGCACGCCTGTCATTCCAGGGGCCTGGGAGGCTGAGGCAGGAGAATTGCGAGTTCAAAGCCAGCCTCAGCAATAGTGAGGCACTAAGCAACTCAGTGAGACCCCATCTCTAAATAAAATACAAAATAGGGCTGGGGATGTGGCTCAGTGGTAGAGTTCAATCCCTAGTACCAAAAAAAAAAAAAAAAAAAAAAAAAAGGCTAATTCCTAATTTGAGAGAGAGATGAAAAAACTTCCAGGTCTTTCCTAGTAGCATATTTCCTGAGCTCACATTCTTAGTGATGGAGTGGACAAATTAGAAAAAACAAACTAACAGACAAACATTGTGAAGAACTTTAGGATTAAGATGAAACAAAAAATTGAAACTGAAGAAAACAGATGCAAGAAACAGAACTGTTATATAATTAACATACGGCTTGCACCTGAGTCCCTCAAAAAGAACAGCAGTACATCAGTACATCTAAGTTTTCCTTTTTTGTGGTTGTGGCACTTGGGATTAAACCCAGGCCCTCATATATACTACACAAATGTGTTAATGCTAAGCTACATCCCCACCCTTTCTGTTTTGTTTTGAGACTGGGACTCCCTCAGTTGCCCAGGCTAACCTCAGGCTTGTAATTCTCCTAACTCAGCCTCCTCAATAGCTGGGACTGTAGGCACACAACACTGTGCCCAGCTCAAAAAGAGTTTAGGAGACTTAATGAATTTAGAATAAGTAGAGGGGCTGGGGTTGTCATTCAGTGGTTAGAGTGCTTGCCTGGCATGTGCGAGGCACTAGGTTCAATTCTCAGTACCACATATGAATAAATAAGTGGTCCATTGACAACTAAAGAATATATAAATAAAAAAGAATAAGTAGAGGAACCAGGCATGGTAGTACACACGTAATACAACTTGGGAGGCTGAGGCAGGAAGATCCCAAGTTCAGAACCAGCCTAAGCAACTTAGTGAGAATGTCTCAAAATAAAAAATAAAAAGGGGGCTGGGGATATAGCTCAGTTGGTGGAGTGCTTGCCCTACATGCACAATGCCCTGGGTTCTAATCTCCAGCACTCCAACAACAAAAAAATAAAAAATAAAAAGGAGACTATTTCTTGGTCTGGGGATGCGGCTCAGTGGTTAAGGAGCCCTGGGTTCAATCCGCAGTATAAAGAAAAAAAAATAGACTTAAGTAGAGGCTTAAATATGACATCATGCCGGGCATTGCCATTTCTAACACACACATAACAAACACATAGGAACATGAAATATACACATAATACAATCCCCCCCCCACACACACACACTTACCAGAAGCCTGCGACAGCTTTTGATGTGCCCCAAGGCTAGGGAAATATACAGAAACATGATGGCGTAGCTAATGACAACAGTGAAGATATCCCCATTACTTTCACGATTTAGTTCATCTTCAATACTTCGTTCAGTAGTGAAAGAAATGGTCAGATTTGGATTCTTGTAGTTTTTCACAAAATTAATAAACCTAAAGGATAAGTAAAATTTAATAGTTTTAGTTAAAACTAAGTGACAGATAAGTAAGAGCTTCTTTCCCAACTTTTAAGGGCAAAGGCCACACTTAACCTTTGCCCTGCGTTAGGAGCTTCAACACTGGAGCCTAAAGGGTGAAACACGGCCACAGTCCTTGTCAAGCTGAATTTCCTTTTTGTGGGTGGGGGAGATGCTGGGGATCAAACCCCAGGCATGTTAGGCAAGCACTCTGTCACGGAGTCTTGAACTTTCTATCATTTAAAACAGATTTGGAACAAGTTTAAAATTGGTTCATGTTCTGCCTATGTGTGTTTTGTTTTTTTTAAAAAAGATATCTATATGAGCTGGGGTTGTGGCTTAGCGGTAGATCACTCACCTAGCATGTGCAAGGCCCTGGGTTTGATCCTCAGTACCACATAAAAATAAAGATATTGTGTCCAACTACAATAAAATATTAAAAAAAGTAAAATAAAATTAAAATTAAAAAAAGATATCTATGTGCAGTACACTTTAATGAACATAAAAACTCATTGAACAATGCAACATTTATCAGAATCAGGCTGGGATGATGTAGCTCAATGGCAAAGCATCTGCTTCACATTTGTAAAACCCCGGCAGGGTTCGACCCCCAGTTCCAAAAAAAACCAAAAAGCCCACCAAAATTTATCAGAATCCCAGCTGATTCTTGTAGAAACTGATAAGTTGACTCTAAAACTCACATGCAATTGCCTGGCTAAGAATAGCCAAGACAACTTTTTCAAGAAGAGAAAGTAGGACTTGCACTTCCCAATTTCAAAACTTCCTAGAAAACAACAGTAATAAAGACACCATTATACTGTCACCAGAAGAGACACAGATCAAAGGAACAAATTTTTGAGAGTCCAGAAACATGTCATGTGTCAGGGATTAATTAATTTTTGACAAGGATGCCAAGACTCTTCAGTGGGAAAGAAAAACCTTTTCAACAAATGCTGTAGGACAACTGGAGAGTTACAAGAAAAAGGATGAACCTGGACCCTCACCTCACACAAAAAATTAACTCCAGGGATCAGAGAGCTGAATGTAAGAGCTAAGACTATAAAACTCCCAGGAGAAAACACAGAGTAAATGCCCATGTTCTTGGATTAGACAATGGTGTCTTGGACATGACACTGAAAGTCTGAGCCACTGCGGGAAGCCACCCGTGAATTACTTGAGGGTCTTCTCTCAGTATGGCATCAGGGAGATTTTAGGTTTAACCTTGGGAACGATCCATGGCTCTCCCACACAATAGATTGCCCAAGGCAGGGACCTTTATCTCCACTCTACTAGGAAGGTCCCTCACAGTAGCTGTGGAGATGGGTGTAGCCCATTGGGAACTGGACAGCCCACCTCTACCTTTTTTGGTGAAGAACATGTTATGAAAGGCCTTTGGTGTTCCCTGATATATATAAAGCAAGCACAGGCTCCATTTTGCCTTTTTAGTATAGAAGCTCGATCTGTATAATCGGCTAGCCCGTCCTGCCTCCACTTTATGAAAATATTTTCTGTGTCCTGCGGTTTCTAGGTCATTCTGGTTTTCTTAGGTTTTGCTCTGCAGCCAGCCCATTCTACCAAGGGCTGCCCGCGTTGGGACAAAGGCGAGAAGCCAGAAAAGAAAAAAAAAAAAAAATTGAATCTCTTCAAAATTAAAAAATTTTTGTGCATCAAAAAAGTAACAACCAAAAAAAGACCCAACAGAATGGGAGAAAATATTTGGAAGTCATATATTTGATAAAGAATATAAAAACATTTCTTACAAATCAATAATAAAAAAAATGGGCAAACCATATGAATAGATATTTCTCCAAGGAAGATGGAGAATTAAGCACATGAAAAGATGCCTACAATTTTTCATCATTAGGAAAATGCTAATCAAAACCACAACGACATACTATTTTATATCCAGTAGGATGGCTAGAATCTAAAAGGCAGATAATAACAAGTGTTGGCATAAAAGTGCAGAAACTGGAACCATCACATACTGAAAATAGTCCAGCAGTTCTTCAAACAACTAAAGGTAGAGTTGCCACATGATCTAGCAATTCTACTCTTAGATATATACCTAAGAGAAATGAAAACTTATAAAAATATTCATAGCAGTTATTCATTATAGACAAAAGACAGAAATAACTCAAATGTGTATCAATTGATGAATGGGCAAATAAATATGGTAAAACTACATAATGGAATATTATTGGGTCATAAAAAGATGTGAGAACGTGGATGAACCTTGAAAACGCTAAGTGGAAGAAGCCAAACACAAAAGCCCACAAAAACGATTCCAATCATATAAAAGTCTAAACTAGGAAAATGTATGAAGACAGAAAGTAGATTAGTGATTGTTTATAGTGGTGAATGAAGAAGATGAGAAAAGGTAGGTGACAGCTAAAGGATACAGTGTTTCAATCCAAGATAATCCAAGAGTTCTAAAATTGACTGTAGTGATGGGTGACCATATGTGTGAATACACTAAAGCCATTAAACTACACTTCAAATGAGTGAACTCTATGGTTTATATCATCTCAATAAAACTGTTTTTAAAAAATATGCTGGATGGCACATATCTGCAATACCAGCTACGTAGGAGGCTGAGGTCAGAAGATCCTGAAGACTGAGGCCAGCCTGGGTACCTTAAGACCCTGTCTCAAAAATTAAAAAGAGCCAGGGATGCAGCTTACTGGTAGAGTGCTTGCCTAGCATGTGCAAGGCTCTAGGTTCAATCCCCAGTGCCACAAGTACCAAACAAAACAGTACAGAAGGGTATAAAGAGTTAAAGTCCCTCATCTTCCTGACACTTCTCTTCCCATGTCCTGAGAGGTTAAGAACACAGTTAAGTTTTTCAGGCTATCTACTTGAACAGCTTATATTCATGAACAGCATGAACAGCTTATATTCATATAAATATGCTGATTATAGCTTTTACTAGATCTGGAATCATTTACTTACCTTGTTCTCATTAATAAGTGCATAATATTCTACGGTACTCATCCCTCATTGCTGTACATTCAGTATGCTCCCAGTTTTGCTATTAGAAAAAAGGCAAGGTGCATTTGTGCACGTTTTGCCTTCCTGGGTAAGAATACCTGCTTAAAACATCTATTTATAGGTAAATATATCCAAAGATTTCTTCTGAGCACAATTCTTAGCAAGTGAAAAATATTACATATCTTAGAACTCATGTTGGCTAAGTTAGAGAATGAAGTTCAAGGGCTTGCTGCAAATGTCCAGCTTCACAAAAAGCAAGGACAGTTTGTTTATCCAAGAGTGACTCACTCTTTTTCCCAGGCCTGGGCCCTCTGGAGCTTCTCTGTATCATTGTAGTAATTATTGACAGGGAAGGTAATCACGAGAGCAGTGGCATTATTGTAGTTTTGATCTAGAAAGGGAAAACGTGACATCAAAAAGCAGATTACAAGCATGTAGAAAATCACACAAATACAAGGAGGGAATCACAACACAGTAGCTGATCTGATTTCTCACTGGAGACAAATGGAGTCTGTGCTCTAAGACCAAACAAGAAATGGTCTATGAGTATCCTGGTTAGTGAACAGGCTTCCCTGTCTGAAGGGGACAGTTACAATTCAGGGAGAATGATTTTTCCCCTCAAACTACACCGTACATATATGGTAAAAATTTCAAACAGAAGAGAAAGGTGTTGTGTGAGAACATTCTCCCCTTCCTTTCTCCATTCCATTCTTTGCTTCTCTTTCCATGCTGTGGCCATTTGTGAATCTGCACCATGCACACACAAGCAAACCCATATGGATATTCTTCCCTCTTCCTTTCTACTTACATAAATGGTAACATACTGTTCTACACATTACAATTTAAAATTCTGTATCTTGGAGACCGCTCCATTTTAGTACATACAGAGCTTTTTAATCTTTTCCTGAAGCATGCTATTTGCTAGTATAATTCAACCAATTCCCAATTGATGGTCATTCTTGCAATTTTTTATTACAAAATTACTATAACTATTTATATATCCATAGATGTATAAATATATATAGTATATCTATATTTTTAGTATGTAAAGTACATATTCATAGCATCAAATATTACGGCATAATCCCTGAGTCAAAAACTATGTACCAATATTGTGTCCAACTACAGCTAAAATATAAATATTAAAAAAAAAAAAGGGGGTGGCTGGGGTTGTGGCTCAGTGATAGAGTGCTCGCCTAGCACAAGTGAGGTCCTGGATTCAATCCCCAACATCCCATAAAAATAAATAAATAAAGATATTGTGTCCAACTACAACTAAAAAATAAATATTAAAAAAAAAACTATGTGACTTTCTATTTTTGATAAATTCTCACAAACTGCTGTCCAAAGAGGCTGTTTTTTTTTTTTTTTATACCTTTAACAAAACACTTACTGAGAACTAATTTGTGCCAGGCCTTACTTTAGGTCCTGTGGATATATATCAGGGAGTAAAAGAAAACTCCTATCTTCCTAGAATTTACTTTTGAGTAACCAATTTACATTTTCAGCAATAATAGTAGAGTTCCCATGTTCCACCAACACAAGGTTTTATCAACTCTTTTAGGCCTTTGTCAGTTTGTTAGGTAGAAAGACTGAAGTGAGATGCATTTTACCATCAGGAGGGAACAGAAACATTTCCTCCATATAATTAAATGTCATTTGTATTGCTGCTTCTGTTAACTTTCAACCACTTCTTTGTGGTTTCACAGTGCTAAGGAAACGCTGTTACGAATGCTAATTTTTTGTTGTTGTTGTTGTTCAGTTTCTTGCCAGTTTTTAACTGTATGTTTGTTCTCCACCCAAGCATTCAAAATTTTTTATGTAGTCAAATCCATCAGTCTTTCCTTTTGTGGCTTTCCAGTTTTTCTTATTTCAAAATGTCTTTGTCATTTCAAAATTATTTTAAAAAATTCCTCCTGTAGGGGCTGGGGATGTAGCTCAGGGGGTAGAGTGCTTGCTTGCCTACCGTGTGTGAGGCCCTGGGTTCAGGCCCCAGTACTAGGGGGGAAAATCCTCCCATATTCCTGTATGATCTTCCAGTTCTCCAACAGTTTTACTTCTCACATTTCAGTCTTTGATCTATGTGGAGTTTATTTTGGTAGAAGGAATAAGGAAGAGGACAGTTTTAATTTTTTTCCCTTTGGCTAGCCAGTGGCTGATGTCATGCTTTCCCTCCGATTAGAAATGGCATTTTATTATATGGGGCAGAGTCAATTTTAAATACAGATCACAAGTTCTCTCCTGCTTCTGAGCCAAGGGAAGAAAACCTAGCTGGCCTCTTCATCATAGGGAAAAACCTGTTGAGCCTGCAGGGAGGCTTCAGATGCCAAAGATGTCGCGTGAATCACCACCCCATTTTATCTACCCCATCTGTCCTAGATGCCACAGAAACCAGCGAAGAATGTTCTTTCCACTACAAAGGTATCCAGATTGTTCTGAATGGTTTAGAAGGGGACAAAAAACCAAAAACAAACAAACAAAAAAAAAAAAACACACCAACTTTGGATTTTTATTCCTTCCCCATGACGTGGGTTCTGAACCTGAGCTCATGGCCTCCCAAGACGTTCTACTGGTAAGCTTTCCAGGTCTGTGACCTCCCTGCAATTGACCAACAACACAACTACACTATTCTGGGAAAATGTCCTTAGCCTTTAACAGCTTCTCAAAGGCATGTGTGACCTAAAAGGTAAACATAATCCACTTCTTTTAAATCCAAAGTAAAACCCAAAGCCAAAGCCAAAGAAAATATTATATTTAAGATTCAACAGTCAGGGAATTAAGAAGGTTGCTCCATTTATGAAATCTTCCTAACCACCTACCCTTAACTGCATGATGGAACCAGGATTACTAGGAGAAGCTCAGTTTCTCTTACTTACCATCGTAGCCTCCCAGCACAAGCCACGGGAACACGGGTCCACCGAATGTACCGAGGCAAGGATCATGCAGCAGACTTGTATCATTCAGAGAGGCAGGAGCCCTGCCCAGAGATCAGAAAACACCTCCCACTTAGAATAAGCCTCAAGACATCATGGACATTTAGACAGAATACAATCAACTACAGTAAGTGTTTGCTAAGTACAAGGTGGGCCCTAAGGTTCCTGAGTTGGATGATACCATCCGTCCTGAGCCACTCAGAACTCGGATTCCCTGGACTACAGGCATCAGACCTGGCCCTGGTGTCTGGTGCTGTGTGGGTATAGAGGAGGGGGCAAATGACACGAGGGGAAAACTGCCACCAGAAGGAGACCTATAGAGATGTAGTTCTGGACCACATCTCTAAGTACAAGGGCAATTCAGCAGCAAAGAGCTGCTCCATACACCCTGGGGGAGAGAACAGGTGTGTAAGAGGAGACAAGAGCAAGAGGAAGGTGGTCAGGTCACAGTAAGTCCTGGCCTTGCATATGAGGTGCAGACACGGGTGCTCCTAAGGGAGGGGGCAGGGCTGGAAAGGATGAACAATGGCAAAAATAAGGATCTGATCGATGCCAGGCTAAGTGGTTTAATTCTAACCCTGAAGGCACTGGGGAACAGTCAGAGATGGCTGGGGAAGGGATGTCATGAGCTGTTTTCCAAAAAAATCAGTGGCAAAGTGGAAGGAGGTCTGGGGAGTGGGAAAGAAATAGGAAGGTGGGAGGGCAGTCAGGAAGTTTGTGCAATGGCCCAGGCAAGAGAGCACGGGCAGATGGCTACTCCGTGTGAAGGGAACGAGCATTTCAAGGCAGCTGGCAGCCAGAACTCAGCTGGGCGCTCAGGGAGGTCTGCACCGAGGACCTGCTCTTCGGAGCTGCTGTGAGGTCCTTCATCTCACAACCTGACTGTCACAGCAGGAAGGACCTGGAGAGGTTAAGATTCACCACAATCACATGAGGAAGGCGAGAGGAGGAAGTCAGGGATAGAGCCTCATGTTGGCTTCACTGGTAGATGTCAATGCCATTCAAAGACACCGGGGAAAGAAGTCTAGCCCTGACTCTGGGAAGGCCAAGTCTGTTTCCTTTGGGATGTGCAGTGGAAAGTAGTGAAAACGAGAGACAGGCTGGAGTCATGAAAAAACCAAGCCACACAGCCTGTCATGGGAATTGTCCCAGAAGGGCTTCCATGCCTGTCTAAACCAGGCCCTCTGATAAAACCCAAGTCTCACACACCTCTCCTCCCAATTCTTTTGGCTTTATTTTGTAAAACAGAAAATAGTTTTTCCCTCTGAAATATAGAAAGCAATTACGTAATATCATATTTATCACCCACACACCTTCCTGGTTACCCACAGTCCCCTCGTACCGTCTGCCCTGTCTACAATGCTGTTTTGAGGCACACAGGCATACATTTATTTATTGTTTTATGAGTACAACTCATGTTTAAGAGGCGACGTCCTTGAAACAGAATGAACACTGACCAACAGCCTGAGCAGTCACATTTTAACAACAAAATTTAAGGTCACCAGAGTTCTTGACAACCAGAAACCAGAGTGCTCAGCTCTTGAGACACAGTGAGTTAAGCAATGCAATCAAAGGAGACACGGAGGCATTTTTCCTGTTCCTATGGTGAACATTAAGCCACTGTGGTTGTTCACATCACTGAACAATCGCCCTCAGGCCAGCTCTGGAGCATTCAGAGATGGCAGACTGAATAAGCCCAAAGCTCCCCTCACAGATCACCTAAACACAGCTTCCTTGGGAGACTAATCCCAATTATAAATAAGCCCTGCCCAGCCAGATGCAGGCCTCCCAAGGGAAGCAGTTTAAGGCCTTCTAATCTAAAGCTGCATGCCAGTTCTCCCCAACTCCTCAAAAGGAGGTGACATGCTTTAAACACAGCTAGGTACCAGGATATCAGGTTACACATGAAAAACAGGCACAAGCTCAATAAGATTCTACCTTCAAATCTTAGGGGAGTAGGTGTGGACATCAAACTGTTATTGACCCAGGCAAGAGTTAAAGATCGATCCTGGATTACACACCAAGGAAGCACGCACTCTAGGGCCTTTGCCCATGCTGCTTATTCTGCTGCAAACACTTTTTCCTGTGATATCCACAGGCTGTCTTTTGTGCAAGTTTCTTCTCTAAAACTCATTCCTTTTTTTGCTAAGCCTTATTTGTCTTTCCCAACACTAATCTTTTACTGATACGAGAGCATATGTGTATACAGTATGCCATACAATAGCGTTTTTGTCAATGATGGACTACATATGATAGTGGATTCCTCAAGATTATATTGCCTAGAGATGTCATAGCTGTCTTATTTTGTGTAAGCATACTCCATGATATGTTCCCACAATAAAGAATTAACTATCAATGAATTTCTCAGAATGGGTCCTCGTTGAGAAACAACATATGACTGTATTTACAGATTGCCAATTCCCATTCATTAGGATGTGAGCTTCATGGGGTACGTCTTGCTCTGTTGGTTCACTGATGGGTCTCTAGTACCATGAGTGATAAAAGCAAAAATAAGTGCTCGGATATTGGCAGGATACACAGATGGCTGGCTGCTGCCACTTACCTTGTGCAGTACAGAAAATGCGTATGATAATCGGCATACACAAAGAAGTCATCCCCTACTTGATGGTCCAGCGCAGAATGGCTGTTCTGGAAGTAATTTAACACACTCAAAATGGTGCAGTTCTTGTTATAAGGTGAGAGAGGGGCCACGCAGATGTCTTGAAGTGTCACAGTCTCGTTGTTATAATTTGCGGTAATACTTTCAAGGGCTGTTTGTAAGTCAAGAACCTGAAAGAAGATTTTAAAAATAAGCAAATCCAGAAAGATGTCAGATTTCTTCAAATCTTTACTAACTAGTATTGTGAGAGGTTAGAAGAAAAAGTCTTTGAGGAAAACACATCCTAAGACAGAGGAGGTTCAGGCACACTGTAGTAAAATATCTGGTGACGTAAGAGTTGTCCAGAGATGGGGAGGGGATATGTGATCAGATTGATTTCAATATAGCATCCACAACCATCTCTCCTCACCTGTCTCCAGCAGCCACTAACAAGGGGCCACAGAGTAGACTAGAGTGTGATGCTTGGTCTTCCCAACACTCCCCCTTCCCAAAACACACCAAAATACATGCCTGGCTCTATGCTACAATCATTTAGGTATACGCCCATATTTTCCAATATAGACTATACTCTCGGAAGTAAATGTCTGTGCTGTTCATCTTTTGCAACAAGCTAGGAAAATGGAACAGTCAATCACTAGGTAGAGAAAGAAAAATTCCATTAAAATTTTTGGCTCATTTCAACGCTTTTAAAAATCTCACATTTTCTGTAGACAAGAACAATATTTAAAGGAAAATTTGGGTGACTGTAATGAATAATCATTCATTAAAGAAGCAGATGTCTTTTATTCACAGGTACAGATTTCCGTAGCAAACATGAAGGACAACAGGAAATTCTAAAGACCTTTGTAAGAGAAACAGATGGATCTCTTCCCAAGTGTATCTTCCACTAACTACAGGCTGGCAGCTAACATTCAGGTCACAATAAGTTCATTCCTAGACCCTGGATTAGTAATGATCCAGCAGTTCCTGCCCCGGACCCCAGGGCAGCATAAACAAATTCATTCCTTTGGGTCCTTTCATTTTACTCTTAACACAAGAAAAAAAAAAATCCATGGATTCCCGAGGTAAATTCCTCATATTCTGCTTCAACAGAGAAATGCTACTTAGACCTTCCTCTGTTCATCTCAATTTCAAGAAAAAGGCAGGATCTGCTGTTTGAAGTCAATCCAAAAGCAGGCAACAGTCAATTTTTTATTAAATTCAATGACTAGCACCACTTTCTTGAAAAATAAGTGAAAACACCTTTACTTTAATGCTTAAAGATTTCAGAGATACCACAACAATCAGCCCCAAATCTGTATTGGATAGAATTGATCTACATGTAAAAGCCAGCGTACCACCAGGTCCCCCAGATGGACGGACATGTACTAATGGCAGAGTACCTGGTGCAAAATCTCTTTGTCAAGTGGGGGTCCAAAGGGCACGTCGGCTCCTGCGGGGTAAGGCTGGTAAATGTGTTTGCTGGTATTGGGGGCCCGGATGATGAGTTGCTCCGTCCGGAAGAAAGGCCCAAAGTGTGTGTCAAAGTACTCTTTATCCTGGCGGGCCTGGCTGCTGGCAGATGACCAGAGGTCAACTGGATTGGTGGTGACCCGGACAAATGCCAGGCCTGAGGAACATGCGGCAATGAAGACCACTGAGAAGAAAATGACACAGCCAGGGTTTCGGACACAGAAAGATCCCCACTGGGTGAAGAAGCGCCTCAAACAGCCCTCGAAGGCCGCACCAAGCCTGTCACAGCAGGACGCCTCCCCTGGAAGAGCGGGAGAGGAAAGGAGGTTGGAGGTTAAGAGCCAGGCCGTTCCTGAAAGTCGGAACAGGGACAGCATTAGCTACCATTGCACCTGCTGGGAGTCCAGCCCCCTGGGTGACACAACTGACACCGTAGGCCCTGTGCTCTCTGTCTGCTTGGGGAAGCTCTTTTTTTTGGCTACCCACAATGGACACGGTTGCACTCCTGGGTGGAAAGATGCTCACACGAGAGCTTCTGAAAAGCAAGTTTCTCTGACTGCTCTGCTGCTCCTGCCCTTGGCCTGCCACACAGGCACTTGTGTGGCTTTTACTCTGGTCCCTAAGCATTTCACTGCTGTCATTGATAACTTGGGTCTGATCTGCCACCCTGACATCAGAGCCACAGGCCAGGGACATGTCTGTGCTGACCATAGCTGTGTCCTTGGCACTTGTGCACGGCCTCACCCACAATCGGCACATCAATATTTACTGAGGAAACAAGGGCTCTTTCAGGCCAACAAAATCCAAACCCTTTATTTTCTGTACAAATATGCCTACCTTTGTCACTGGCATTAACAGAAAAGGCTATATTGCTGTCAATGGGAGTATATTCGGACACAAAATAACGCTTTCTGAAAAATAAAAGCACATAAGCAGTATTAGTGGACTTCACGATAAGATTGTTACTTGGATATCCCAAAATCCCACTAGAAGCTTACTTCCTCATCCTGACTTCTTCCTCCCTAATCCTAAACTCCCTTGGGGCTCTATGCTTACCAGTTTCAGCAGAAAATTTAAGACTGTATTAAAAAAAAAATCCAAATTGTTAAAGGATAATTTCACTTTGCAACCCTCATTTTAGATCCTTTAAAAACACACTATCCTGCCTAGGAGCAACAGGGCAGGGCAGGGAGGACAGCAGATGATCCCAAGGGTGGGAACATGTCAAAAGAACATAAGAGCCAACCAGAAGGCACCTCCCCATGCCCAACGTGGAAAAAACCTGAGCAGTAAAACAATGGAATTAGATAGAGTCCACAGAATAAGTAAAAGGTCCATAATGTAACTAAATGAATAATAAGTGAAGGAAGAAGTCCGATTAGTAGTTGTAGGGAGTGAGAGAAATCCACAATTGCTATCAGGCAAACACTGCAATAATCACGGTTGCAGACAGAACCCATGATTTAGTGGGCAGTAGGTGATGGTCTGAGGAGAAAGTATTAGTATAGTTTTTTTTGTTTTTGTTTTTGTTTTAGTTGTAGATGGACAAATACCTTCATTTTATTTGTTTTTATGTGGTGCGGACGATCAAACCCAATGCCTCATGTGTGCTAGGCAAGTGCCCTACCACTGAGCTACACCCCCAGCCCATGCATAGTTTAAAAATATCTTTTCTCAAGAAAATTTTCAATTATAAAGGGAAAAATAGTAACCCCAGTGAAAAAACCCAGCAGACACCATCTTAACCATGAGATCAAGGTTAATATCCCTGGTAACAACATATCAACAACATGGACTCCTTGGCATGATGCCCTGAGAAAGACCCATCACCACATCTGTGATGTGCTTGTGCAAAACACACAGCCTCAATCTAATCATCACAAAACACTGGATGAAGGCAAGAGGCACAAGATGCAAAATAAGAGGCAGGTACTCATCAAAAGTGTCAAGATCTTAAAAGAGGAAAAAGACGGAGGAACCATCTGTCGTAGATTGAAGGAGACTAATAAAACATAAAAAGTGAATGTGTTATGAGATTCTGAAACAGAAAATGGGCATGAGAGGGAAAACTGGTGAAATCTAAGTAAAGTGTGTAGTTTAGTTAATAATACGGTACCAGTTACATGGTTTTGATCATTATGTTGGGTTCTCTCAGTGGTAACATAAGGGGAAGCTGGGAAAAGGGTATATATAAATTCTACTATTTCTGCAACTTTTTGTTAGTCTAAAACAATTTTGAAATTAAAATTAATAAAAATGTACTGTTGTCAGGTGTGGTGGCACAATCTCAGCAACTCAGGAGGCTGAGGAAGGAGTATTGCAACTTCAAGACCAACTTGAGCAACTTAGAGACCCTGTCTCAAAATAAAAAATAAAAAGGCTGGGGCTAGCCATAATTCCAGTGACTCGGGTGGCTGTGGCAGGAGGATCATGAGTTCAAAACCAGCCTTAGCAATTTAGTGAGGCCCTGAGCAACTCAGATCCCCAGTACCAAAAACGGGGGGCAGGGAACCTGGGTGTGTAGCTCAGTGGTAGATTCAATCCCAGTACCAAGAAAGAAAAAACAAAAGTACTATACTAAGTCTAGATGCAAATATCTAAAAGGATGATGGCACTACATTCAATTAAATTTGGACCATTTGGCTCATTTGACTCTGACTTTCTAAAGAATGGATTAATGCATTGAGATTTAACTCACACATCGTTCTGAATAAATCAATAAAACTAACTTCAAATGTTTAAGTGTCTCAATGACACTTGACTATTTACTAGCTGCAGATCATAAGCAATCCATGGAGTGGCATTCACACAGGTATTTGCTTCCTGTTCTAATAAACCTGCTATGTGAAAGCTACAAGTGCCACTTGAGTAATTTTGATCTTCTGGCCCTAGTTCGTCCTCTCTCTCTCTCTCTCTCTCTCTCTCTCTCTCTCTCTCACACACACACACACACACACACACACACTTGCTTACCTGTAGCACCACAATGCAAAAAATGCTCCAAAAAACACAAACAAAAATGCCATGTAGGTGATCCACATGATGACATACATGGCATCCAAACCAAAGATCCTCCAGGGAATAGGAGGTGCTGGGGGCTGGGGCTTGGGGCCACAAACGATGGAGCAGTCCTGGCAGCTGCATGGCCCAGTGACCTCATCTACAGACTCATTGCAGCCTTTGGTGGCATTGTTCATGGGCTCCATCCCCTGGACTGGAAGATCTATGGGAAGGAATTGTGTTGAGTGACAATCTCAATGAAAAAAACATTAAAAATTGTGTACTGAACTATCTGGAAACTCAATAATAAGCATGCTGAAACACAGCATAACACAACTGGAAGAATAAGGACTGGAGGTTTTAATTGAATCTCCAATCCCTTTATGTTTTATTGCTTTGCCTTATAAAATTTGTTGCTTTGCCTTCTAAAATTACAAGTGCTGACTTTCAGTCCTGTCTTACTCCCACTCTGAATAGCTAGACTAAGATTTCAGCAGAGCTCTGAAAAGTCTGTTGTGACACTCCTTAGCCTTTCTTAAACAAACAAAACCTCAGTTTATTCCCTCAAGTACACAGCGATCCCTACAGGCAATTAATTCCTTTCCCGCTTCCATTCATACAGGATAAATGCCCTAGTAACCCGTCTTACTCAGAGAAACTCTAGGCATTAGTTACTGGAATTTATCCTCCTCCTGCAGACTGATTCCTTGGCATTATAACATTATTATAAATATAGCAACTTTGGGAGTAGTCATCCCTACCTGAAAAAATGGGAGTGATGGTAAATGGCGCCTGTCCATTGTTCTTATCGAACATGTACTCGATCCAGTTGGTGGCATTGCAGGCATCAGCATCCCTCCCGCACAGGAGTCCCAGGGCCTTGTCATTACTTGAGGGGGCCTCCACATCCCGGCAGGCATTGTACATTGCTAGAAAAGGAATCCCAAGGGAAAAAGCGACATGACACTTGCTCTAGTCTCCAGATAAGAGCTTGCAAAAGGCCCCTGAAATGGAAACAAAGGACTGCAGGTGGATTGCCACCGTGTTAGCAAGCAGACTGGAATGTGGGATGACTGCACACTGTGGAAGGGAGAGGGGACTTCCCTCTGAAATGGCTTATTCCAGCTTGACTCCAAGTAACTTAAAAGTAAAAAACAGGAAAGGGAAAGGCTTATGGCATATCATCTGGTTCTTACAAAAGCTTTGGGAAATCTCCTCTCCACTGTCCAGAGGAGCAGACTAAAGCTAAGAATCTTAGTACTTCTTCAGTCAGTGAAGCTGGTTCCAGAAAACCTGGAGCAGCCTCTTGCAGCAAGAGACTACACAGCTGAATCATGGAAATCACAGGAAAAACTGGCTTTACGAATGAGGTCACACATGAATTAAACTAATACCATTCTGTTTTTTAGTTTTATTTTATTACGCAAAGATAACACAGTACCTAATATCAATGCTATTGCACACAGGGAGGCAGGTGGAGTGTCCTGTACTGCTAATTTTCATTTCACCAGTCCCTGCTTGCTAGAATCTTCCTAGATCTTCTTCTCTTAATCTCCAAGGGGATCTCTACATATTCACTTGGTTTTATCCTCACTTATTTATTTAATTTTCAAAATATTTAGTTGTCAAAGGACCTTTACTTTATTTATTTGTATGTGGTGCTGAGAGTCGAACCTAGTGCCTCACACATGCTAGGCAAGTGCTGTAACACTCAGTCACAACTCCAGCCCCTTACCCTCACTTTTGAAAGAAAGGTTAGCTAGAGGGACAGTTGTCTTTTTCAGAACTCTGAATATGTCAGTCCTTTCTGGCCTCATATTATGGCTGGTGAGAAAATGTTCAATTATCATTCTTCTGAAGAGCTTTATGTCTTTTCTCTATTTGCTTTTAAGATCTCTGTCTTTGAAATGCATTCGTTTTTCTAAGTTATACTTAAGGTATGGGTTTCCTTTTGCTTTAAAAAGTTTTTTTTTAATTATTTTAATTTTTATTTTAATGTGTGCTAAGGCTCAATCCCAGTGCCTCACACATGGTAGGCAAGTGTTCTGCCACTGAGCTACAGCCTCAGCCCTTAAAAAAAAGTCTGAGATATCATACACATACCATACCACACACCCACTTAAAATATTCAGTTTAATGAATTTTAGCATATTCATCAATATATGCAATCACCACCAATTACAGTTTTAGAACATTTTCAACCCCTCAAAAAAAGAAACCCTGTACCCTTTAACTATGATTGTTATTTCCCCACATTCCAAACCCTAAGCAATCACTAAATGTGTCTATAGAATTTGCCTATTTTGGGCTGGGGATGTGGCTCAAGCGGTAGCACGCTCGCCTGGCATGTGTGCGGCCCGGGTTCAATCCTCAGCACCACATACAAAGATGTTGTGTCCGCCAATATCTAAAAGAAATAAATATTAAAAATATTCTCTCTCTCTCTCTCCTCTCTCTTTAAAAAAAGAAAGAATTTGTCTATTTAGACATTTCATATTAACAGAATTTATAATGTTTGGTCTTTTCTGATGAGCTTCCTTTACTTACCTTTCCCCATACCTGGGAATTAAATTGGGAATTAAACCCAGGGACACTAAATCACTGAGTCACATCCCTAGCCTTTTCATTTTGAGGCAGGATCTTGCTAAGTTGTTGAGGCTATCTTTGAACTTGTGATCTTCCTGCTTTAGCCTACTGAACACTCCATTCTTTTTTTTATGGCCAAATAATATTCAATCACATGGAGGTACCATATTTTGTTGACATCTTTTGACTACTATGAGTAATGTTGCTATAGACACTGTTAAGTTTTTGCGTGGACACGTTTCATTTTTCTTGGAGGGACTGCTGGGTCATATGGTAACTATATTTGTTTCAAAACTGCCAGACTGTTTTCCAAAGCGGCTATACCCACTTTATATTCCCACGTACGAATGAAGTTCTGATTTCACCACATCCATGCCAATACCTGGTATCTGATTTTTTGACATTAGCCATCTTGGTGAGTGTGCAGTTTTGATTTGTATTTCCATGAATATAATGTTGAACACCTTTTCATGTGCTTATTAACTATTTGCATACCTTCCTTGGGCTGTCTATTTACTATTAGGTTATAACAGATTTGTACATATTCTAGATATAAGTCCCTTAAAAATGCATGATTTGCAAATATTTTCTTCAAGCTATCCTTTGAAGCACAAACATTTCTTCTTTTTTTATTTTAATGAGGTCTAATTTAGTTATTTCTTCTTTTGTTGCCCATACTTTTGATATTATATCTAAGACTTCACTGCCAAATCCATGGTCATAAAGACTTACCCCTATTTTTTCTCCTAAGAGTTCTGTAGTTTTAGCTCTTACATTTAAGTCTTTGATTCATTCTCAATTAATTTTTTTAATTTAATGAGGTAAGGGTCCAATTTCATTTTTTTTTTTGCATGTGGATACTGTTAATCCATACCATTTTCTGAAGAGGATTTCCCCCCAGTGATGGTCTTAGCACCTCTGTCAAAGAACAGTGTTCATAGATATACAGCTTATCTTCAATTATATTCATTGGTCCACATGTCTGTTTTTATTAAAGGACCATATCACCTTGATTTCCAATGCTTGGTAGTTAAATTTGAAATTGGGAAGTGAGTCCTTGTATTTTTTTTTTTTTCAGGATTCTTTTAGCTCTTCTACGTCTGCTGGAATGCTGGAATTCCAAGTTGATTTTAGAATTACCCTGTCAATTCCTACAATGAAGTCAGTTGGGATTCTGCTGGAAATTGAGTTGAATTTGTGGATCAATTGGGGAAAAATCTGTCATTTTAACAACATTTTTGATCCACGAACATGTGATATTGTTCTAGTTATTTAGATCTTCCTTAATTTATTTGTATAAAGTGTTATAGTTTAAGTTTTGTACTTTGGTTACATTTATCCCTATTTTCTCATGCTACTATAAATGAAATTGTTTTCTTAATTTCATTTTCAGATTTCATATTGGGCTTCTTTTTAGCTTATCCTGCTTAAGGATTTTATTTACCTAAGACTGAGGACTTATTACTCATTCATTCTGGAAAATCTTTAGCCATTATCCCTCTGTTTATGTCTCCCCCGACTCCCCCCCCCACCCCCGCCATTCTTATCCTACATGTCTTTAATGATGTCCAGATCTTTATATCTATATGATGTTTTCTGGATAATTCTCTCATATCTTCCAGTGATTTCAGGGTTTTATTAGATACCTAGAGCCTAGAGAAGTATATGGAGAATAACACAATTCTCATTTCCTCACCACCCAGCTTTATCAATCTTACAATACTTGTGTTGGCATTTCAAAAACAATGCACCAAAACAAAACAAAAATAATGTACCATTGTGGATGTGGCTCACTGGTAGAGCCACTAGCATGTGTGAGGCCCTAGATTAACTTTCCAACACTGTCACAGAACAAAACAAAAACAAATGAAAAACACCATAGATTTTATTGAAATCCACTGATTACTGCTTCTCACCAGCATCTCCTCTTCCCTAAGATGATCCCAAATCTGAATTTGATGCATATTCCTATGCATGTCTGTGTACCTATGAGATACTGTATCTATAAAGTACTTCTGTTTTAAAGTCGTATAAACATACTACCCATACTCTGTAGCCTTTTAGTTATCGTGTTTAAGTTACCCATGTAACAAATATGATTCTAATCCATACTTTTTAGTTCTAAGTTTTCTATGACCATGACTATATTCAATGTATTTATCCATTCTCTATTATCGAGCAATTAGTGTCTCCATTTAAAAAAAGAATTAGAGTTCATATTTTAGAGCAGTTTTGGGGTAAGAGTAAAATTAAATGGAAATTTCAAAATTTCCACATATTTTATCCCCACATGTTATTATTATTAATAACCTCCTTCATTATCAACATTCTGACTTAGAGTAGTATATTATTTATTTACTTTGACAAATGATGAACCTCTATATTGATATATTACTATCATCCAAACCTTATAGTTTATAATGGGTTCACTCTTGGTGTACATTCTGTGGGATATGACAAATGTATAATGACATTTATCCAGCATTATAGTGTCACACATAATTTCACTTCTTCAATATCCTTTGTAGTCTGTGTACTCATTCCTCACTGCTAACCACTAGCAATGAATGATTTTTTACTGTCTTCAAAGTTTTGCCTTTTCAGAATGCCAGAGTTGGAATCATATGCTATGCAGCTTTTTAGACTAGATTTTTTCACTTAGTAATATGATTTAAAGGTTCTTCCACGTCTTTTCATTTCTATTTAGTGCTGACTATCATTCCACATCTGAATGGATCAGTTTATACACTTATTCACCTACTGAAGAACAGCCTAGTTGCTTTTTTCAAGTTTTGGCAATTATGAATACGTGGTCCATATATCTGTGTGCAGGGTTTTTCACATAGATGAGTTTTCAACTCATCTGGTTAAACACCAAGGAGGACAATAGTTGGCTCATATGACAGGTCATAAAGACTTACCCCTATTTTTTCTCCTAAGAGTTCTGTAGTTTTAGCTCTTACATTTAAGTCTTTGATTCATTTTCAATTAATTTTTTTAATTTAGTTTTGTAAGAGACTGCCAACGTGTCTTCGAAAGAGGATGTACCATTTTGCATTCCTGCCAATAATGAATTAAAGTTCCTGTTGCTCCCCATCTCATCAGCATTTGGTGGCATTAGTGTTCTGGATTTTGGCAACTACAGTACATGTTTAGTGGTATCTCACTGTTGTTTCAATTTGCAATTCCCTAATGACATAAGATGTTCAGCATTTTTTCATATACTTATTTACCATCTATACTCTTTCTTGGATGAGTTATCTGTTTGGGTTTTTGCCCATTTTTCAATCAAGTTCTTTATTTCCTCATTGTTAAGTTTTAAGAGTTTTCTGTATACTCTAATAGCTCTTAAATCAAATATGCCTCTTGCAAATATTTGTTCCCAGTCTGTGATTTGTCTTCTTCTCATTCTCTGGATGTCTCCAATTTTCATGATCAATGAGAATGCTATAATGGATGTTCATAACTATATGGGCCTTCCTGTTCATATGTATTAAGAATTTCTGTTAGGTGGGCCTCTATAAGTGGAATTTCTGCAGTATGGGTGTGTTTATCCATCTTCAACTTCACCAGGTAATGCAAAATTGTTTTCAAACATTTGCGCCAGCTTTTGGTTATTGAGAGGTGCAATTTATTAACACATCATTATCATTAAATTTTTAATTTGTGACAATCTGATAATGTATGAATGGTGTTTCACTATTTTAATCAGCGTCTCATGGATTGATCCAGACATGAATTGTTTATATTCATAAACATTCTCATTGTGGTTTCTGCTTTTTCTCTTTTTGAAAATCTTTCTTTACCTTAAAGTCATGAAGATATTCTGTATTTGCTTCTAAAACTTTCCAAGGCTAGGATTTTTAATTTATACAGTAGATTTTTTTGTATATGCCAAAAAATGAGATGAATATAATGTTTTATCACCCCATTTATCAACAAGATCCCATTCCCCTCAATGATTTGCAATGATGTACTTGTTATATATAAATTTTCCATGTATGCATGTTTTTATTTCTATACAGAATGATCTCTCTTCACTCAGGCTGCCTTTATGTCACATCTTTTGGAAGCCTGATTCCTAGTTACCATAATTTTTGTGGTTTTTTTTTTTGTAATTAGAATCTTTTTTCTATTAAACTTATTCTTGTATTTTTAATTGGTCATTATGATAGCTTTTTATATTTGTGACAATTGGATAAAGTATGAATGGTGGTTCACTATTTTAACTGGCATTTCATGGATTGATCCAGACATGATCAATGTTCTAAATTATTCTTATAGTCAATAACTTTGCTAATAATTCTATTATTTTTTAGACTGTACTTTGACACTTTTTGTTTACCTATGTCTAATTTGCTATTTATCTTTTAATCCATTCCAATGATCACTGCTCCCTCATTAGATCCACTTGATTCTATTTCTAATTTGTTCATTCCTTTTCTGCAGTTACTTATTCTTCTTAAAATTCTTTCATTTTCCACAAACAGAGGGTCTCTTTGGATTGTTCTATGATCTCTAGGGGGGGGGGGGGGGGGGGGGCGGCATTCCTATTTGTGATACTGTTTACTTTCCCTTGTGTCTCAGAGTCAAAACTTCTTTTCCTCATCAACTACTTCTATCCATCTATTTCCTCCTAAGTCTTGCAGTAATTCATGATATTAAACATTTCACATCTGCTAGAATCAACATTCTAATGCTTATTAAAATGTACACAAATTTGCATATTCTAAAATTTTCCATACAGGAGCTTAAGGCTAGGGAAGGGGTTAAAGCCAATGCTTTAAAGAGGTGGTTTTGTTGGTTGTAGCCCAAGTCCTAGGATACAAACAAGAAATGATTCTGAGTTCAAGGCCAATGGAACTGGAAATTGTGATCAATGTTTAGTGGTATCTACGTCTTTTCATTTCTATTTAGTGCTGAATATCATTCCACATCTGAATAGATCCACACAGTTGACAGAATAACAAAAAGAACAGCTTGATGCTCTGCCCTCATGCTAGCTAAAAGGGGAATAATTAATTTTACTTACCATTGGCAAAACTCTGTCCAACATAGTATTGTAATTCTTTGACATTCGTTTTTGTCTGGTTTGTCATAGGATCAACGTAGTCTTCAGTTTCTGTAACATTCAGAAACTGACTCTGATGAGGGCTACATGTCAGCTCACAAAACAGGTTCATTAGGTTATAAAAACAGGATGGGCATCTAGAGAAAAAATAAATTACATTTTGCATGATCTCACAGATAGGGCCAGCAAAATTATGATTTAAAAATAATAAAGAATTTTAAAAATTTACTGCAAAGGGACAAATGAACATATTAAAACCAAAAATTCTTCAATTAAAACCTCATGTTAAAATGAGTAACTTTTAAAACTATCCCCTCCCCAACTGCTGTAATTGCTATATTTACTTTGCTCAGATGTAATTTCAAAAAGAGAAAGATGCTTTTATGAATTCTGTGCTTTTGTAATTTAGAGACATCTTTCTTTGTCCTAGAGCTGTGACAGTTCTGATTAAGAACAAAAGGGGAAAAAATGAGCTTTCACATTAGAATTTTCACCGTATAACTTACTGAAAGGCTTTCTTCCAAGCCTTGGGTAATCCCAGGCCTTCCCAAAACACAGCAGGATCCCCTCCGTGACTTGTGAAAACAAAAGGGACAGCCATGGTGTTCTCTGGCTGCATACATTAGAGAAGCACAAGGGACAGCTGACTGATGCCCTTTGGGTTCAAAGCTTAAGCTCCTAAGCTGACTTGTTATGTGGCACAAGGGCTCTCTCCCTTTGGTGCATTCTCACCACACAACTGAGATTATTTTCTAGACTGATCCAGCGCTAGTGATCACACATGACACAGAATGAGGAAGGTGTAACCCAGCCTTCAAAAGCCTCTGCTCCAGTAAGGCAGATACACGCACACAGATTCTTTTTCAGGAAACCTTTGCTTTCCCAAACTAGAAACTTTAATCACACTACCCTGATAAGAATCACAATTGGGGTGTACAGATTTCTACAAATCTCTTGCCGTGTTATTTCATTTGATCATGAATTTCAACAGCAGATTCCATATGTCAGGTTATTTTTCTTATTTGCTGTTATTAACAAAGCTTTGGTACCTCTGGAGAAAATCTTAGCTATCTGTTGATGTTCATGAATGGGTGCTAAATAAATGTTTTGACTGAATGACGAAGGGTTCAATCTAGCTCCATCAATGTCCAGCAGCCTTCCGTAAGATATAGTGGCCCAAACAGACTCCCAGCTTTTGATATTGTATTATACGATGTCCTGGGAGAACAAATGAATGATGGTTTTCCATTCTGTACTGTAACTTCTGATAAGAAGCAGGGTTCCATAGTGGAAGCTGACTTATGCCCTGCCACTTGCAGTGATAACTGCAGAGAGCATTTCCCCCTCTTTATATTTGCTCCCCATCCATCTCAGTGTGCTAAGGTCTGAAAAATTGACAAAGATAACACAATCTTGCTTGTTCTTCTGCCCATCTGAAAATTGCTAGATAGGCCTATAGAGAAGAACACCTATTACGCAATCCTCTTTCATTGGCCTGGGTCATGAAGAACAGATGGAACAGAAAATGAACTTTGACAAAACTGGCCAACTATGCCAGAACAAACTGAACAGTGACCCAAGGCCAGCCTAGTGAGGACCTGAAGCATATCATTTCACCACAGTAAAAGGCAAAACGACATGCAAAGCAGGGGAGGTGAGGAGAGGGAAATGATTAGAAGACTGCACAGGTGAGGGACCTGAGCAGGACTACGGGGAACCTCTCTTCTCAGGGTGCACAGAAACTCGAATCTGAAAGAAGTAGCCTACTATGCAGAGCCAGGGCATCTCAGAGGAAACCAAGTCACAACTGTGGATGTAACTGGGAAGAGAACCAAGTCTATCATGATTATTACTTTCTCTATTTCTTAGAAGTCATCAAAACAGAACATACCAAAACTCTGACTTTACAAGCAGACCCTAACATTACTGATTAACAAGTAGCTAAAACCCCCTGGCTCTGTTTGCCTGGTGGTCAACCTACCTGGACAGAAACTGCAGAGGCAGCTGCAGGTTGTCTTTCAGAGTCTGAAGCTGCTGAACATCACAACAGAGACTGACATTGTCGAAGAAGAATCCAGGACAGAGTTCCTTTCAGAAGACAGAGAACAGATATGAGAGTAGCAGTTAGGGTAAGGATGCCATTCCTCTAGAGAGAAAACAGCTCTGCTCACGTAAACCTTTTCAGTGCCTGAGGATAAGGCAAGCATTGGAGAAATTCTTGCAGAATTCTCTTGAAAGGCCATCAAATATACTATTCATAAACTAGGGACTCACAGGTAGAGGCGGTAGAGACATTTCTAATTTAGTTTTTATTTGGAAGCTCTGTCTCTCCCCCTGACAGTCATTTTACCTCTTCCTACCTTTTTTTATTTAAGTTCAACCAGAGTGCTATTTATGATTTCCATTAGTCACTCCAGGGAAAGTCAAAACTTTTACTAATTCTGATGAAAGGAATAAGTAAGCAGAGATCTCCTACCATGTCAATTTGACTTTTTATTACGTAAGCCTCTAAAAATCAGTCTTTCCACCCCGATTTTCCAAGTTCTTTTCCAATACCCTTGTGCATGCAGGATGGTAAAAATGACAACAAAGCAAAACCCTGGCGACAGCCAAACTTCACATGCTCAGGGGAACACAGAGAAATCACTAAAATATACAGGGAAAGAGGAAGTCACAGCTTCTTAGTGGCAGTCTGTTCAAGTCCTGGGATCTAGGAACCAAAAAGTCAAGTTCTAATATATTTTGCAGAAGTTTCAAAGAGTAGCATTTGAGGACTAAGGTCAGTCTCTAAATAGTAACCTGCTATGAGAGGTAGAAAGTCGGTGCCTGAAAAATTAAACCTCTGTAGTTAGCTTATCTTCTCTACACTGTGCATTACAGGTTAGAATCTGGGATAAGATTTAGGCCTATTAGTTTCACCTCTACCCACACTGTGCTGCAAGGTTTAATTACAGAGGATCTTGTGATCAGCATTTTGTACGGCTAACAAGGAACTTACCTGCACTAAGTCATACCCATCTTTTGGCAGTGGTTTTGGTGGCCCGGAATATCTGCAATTGTATCTCTTATCTCCAGATGCAATTCCACACTCTCCATACCAAACGCAGGACTGTAAAAACACCTACAGAAATTAACACAAGACTAGGTGTAACTGGGGTCTAATGGAAAACATATTTCAACAATAAAAAAGTGCTCATTCAAACACCATTACAGAACTTTTCAATGCTACCTGCAAAAGGAAGTGACAGCAAGGAGCACTTATTAAACATTTTGAGAAACAGTAATAGAAATAGACCAAATGGGGGGCTGAGGTTGTAGCTCAGTGGCAGAGAACTCGCTTGCTTAGCATGTGCGAGGCACTGGGTTCGATCCTTAGCACCATACACAAATAAAATAAAGGCATTCTGTCCATTTACAACTACAAAAATAAATAAATAAATAAATTAGACCAAATGACCCAAATGGATTTGTCAAGTCAATAAAGTAGGTCATGGAAATTAATTACATGATTTCAACTTTCTGCTTATTTAAGAGAAGTTACAGTTCCCTATAAAAATCACTAAGAATCACAGGATAGAGTAAGTTAGCAATTATTAAGACTCTACTTTTGCACATCTGCACAAGGAACTACTAAATTTTAAAGAATAAAGGATATTCCCACATATATTTAGGTTAAGTACTCCATAAATAACCTGAAGAACAAAACCATAAACATCAATGAGCAAGGTAGGAGCAAGAATGAATATTATATCCTTGAGATTTACGTAGAAAGCAAGGAATGCACCTGTTAACTCCAAGGAAAATCACCTAAGCACTCTTAAAAAAAAAATTTTTTTAAATCTCTTGCAAAAAGATTTCTCAAGAGTCACTCATATTCCCCATGTGAGAGTCACAAGGCTGTCAGAAAATTCATAAGTGGGGAGGGTTTAGAATGAATCAGCACCCTGTTCCAAGGACACTGCCCAAAGCAACCTGACTCTTGGTATCACAATGAACTCAGACAGTCACAGAGGACTCAGCGAGCCAGAGCCACTGGCTTGTAACTGTCTGTGCCTTAGTGAAAAACGAGAGACCAAGAAGCAAAACTACAGTCCCGAAAATGCCTGGGAGAAAGTCATTTAAAAAGATCTCAATAGAAGCAACAGCAGAGTCCTCTCTAGTGACAGCGGCACATGTCCTACACACATACAACAAGCTAAGTGAGTCTGCTGGTCCCCAGTGTCAAGACAGAATCCCAGAACAGAACAGTCCCAGAAGCCCTGAAACATCAGAGAGAGGAAAAAAAAAAAAAAAAACAAACAAGCAGGAAGTAGGGGTGTGCATGTTTGGGGGAATGCAAGGAGTCAATATAATTGAGTTGTCCACTCAATTCAACCTTTAGATATTCTAAAATAAAAATTACCACTTACCACTTATCCCTCTGCTTGACTCATTAAAAGTCATATGTTGGGCCACAGGGACGGAAATTATACAAATGAGGAAGTGGTGAGCCTTCAACGAAGCTCCTGTACCAATCCTTTGTCAAGAAGTTGCATAATTCCACCAACATTTTTATATAAGAAGATCCCCAATTGTTATCCTCAAAAACCTAGAGAATCTAAAGAAAGTGTTGCAATTCTAGGTTTCCAATAAAAGATCACTGCCCATCTAACCAAAGCTTGAAAAAGTGAAAGCTGATGACAGAGATGGAATGAACTGTTGATAATTACATACAATTTAAATACAAGGGATCCCTCCCAAGACCTCAGGGAATTCTCCACTGAGTGGCTGGCCAAACAGGTCTCAGGTCAGGGCCATTCAACTGGTCAACCACAGGAGCAGAAGTGACAGTGTTAAAAGGAAAATTCCTTAGACCAGTTGAATTTAGGAGAGTTTATTTGGGCAGGACAAAACAAAACCAATTCAACACATCTTGGCAGCTCCCAGAACCAGAGCAGGTTCCAGGAACGCCAACAAACAATGTGATCAGACACATTTATGGAAAAACCCAAGTGAAACAATCTGCTACTGCTTTACCAACCAGTCAAATGGTTACTGCTTAATTAGTTAACTGGTTTGAGGACCTCCTATAACCAACCAGAACTGCAATTAAACTTTAGATTGCTTTGGTTTACTGGGCCTAGTATAGGTGCCCAGTCCAAATCCATGACCTCCCACAAATTTTAGTAAAAAACAGGAACCTAGTCAACAAATCCAGTCCCAGCATGGCAAACAGAATGGGTGTCTGGAGCCTAAGTTTCCCTTCCTCAGCACTTAGTGCTACAAAGGCAAATCAAGATGACCCCATGCTGTTTAGCTTCCTTTTTACCAAGATCATCTTTTATGTCATTTATTTTGAAGCAAAGTGCTGTTTTTACCCATCTGGTGGAAGAGGAAAGGGGAAGGCAGGGAGTGATCAGGAGGCATGCGATCAGCAGCTCTAGGTTCTGATCCAAAGAACTAATGATCTGGTCAATAAACTTCATGGCACCTGGGACCCCATCTGGGGCAGATTACTTAAAACCACACTGAATAGAAATTCCCTTTCCTGTGAAATGAAGTTCATTATCTCCGCTTATCTCAGAGGTTTAGCATGCTGATGAGAGATCATATATGTGTATATAACAAGTACTTAGTAAACTAACAAGGCAAGTTACAATTAAAGGTAAAGACATAATGTCTTCCAACTGTCTGGAACCTCTTTACTAAGGTTCTAAAGATCTGAACAGAATAAAACACCTGAGGTATTTTTGGATCCAGGAAATTTGGGCTTGAATAAACTCTTCGGTTTACTTCTCACAAAGCCATCCTGCCTATAGCAAGCCCTAAGTCAGTGGACCCCAAAGTACTGACAAGGTGCTTACTATGTTCCGGACACTGTTTTATATCAGCCCAATGAATCCTAACAATAGTTTGATGTGGGGGATGATATAATGGAGGGAGCACTGAAACACTAAGAACTTCTCTAATATCACACAGGTAGTGGCCAAATCAGGTTTCAAACAAGAGCATTCTGGCTCCAGAAACAGACTCTCCATGGTGGATCTGGGCAGACAGGGCTGGGACAAGCTCATCTCTGTGACCCATGAAGATTCTAGTTGGCATCCAAGCAATTGGTCTTTCAGTCTTGAAATCACCAGTGTGGCGGGCAGTTTGGATTTTATTGACAAACAGTGTGGATGTACCTTAAGATCCCTTAGGACTCTCATAGCAGCACATGCTAACACTAAGATTAAGGTATACTTGTACAGTGCACATACTTCCTTTTTAAATGAAGCATCTAATTTCCAAACTTAAAGCTGGATTCACTATGATACAAGAACCCTGATTTTACATCCAATTGTATTCTCATGGGGAAGGAAGTATCATGTCTAATATCGAAATAAAATCCACCAACATTTGAGTACCAAAGCCAAAATGTGCATTTACTTAACATGTGAACTGACTTCCGGAGATGGATGGCAGTGATAGCTACACATAACGTGATATACTCAGCATCACAGAACAGGGTTAAAAATGGAAATTTTACATTATGTTTATTTTACAGAACACACATCAAAAGAACCATGTGCTCAGATGTCCTTCACCATATAAAAGGAAAGCCCAAGGCTGGGGTTGTGGCTTAGTGGTAGAGCGCTTGCCTAGCATGTGTGAAGCACTGGGTTCCATCCTTAGCACCACATAAAAATGGATAAATAAAATGAAGGTATTAAAAAAAATAAAAGAAAGCCCAGTGGCAAGAACTGCAGTACCCACATTCTCAATTACCATTCTGAGGTTAAAAGTGAAAAAGGTGTCAGATTAAATAAGATGAAGAACTATGGGCATGAGTGTCATAGCCCATACCCAGTCCTGTTAGAGCTTGGTTTATGTACCAGGAGGGTCTTTCTTTTTCCTTTTTTTATTTATATATGACATCGGAGTGCATTACAATTCTTATTACACATATTTCTTAGTCTTTTTCTGTTATTGTAAGAGAATATTTGAAACCAGGTAACTTTAAATAAACAAATTTATTTGGCTCATAGTTTTGGAGGCTTAGAAGTTCAAGATCCAGGGGCTGCATTTGATGAAGACCTTTCTGCTGCATCATTCCACACGGTGGAAAGCAAAGGGCAAGAGAGGGCACTCAAGAGGGAAGGAAGCTGAACCCCTCAATTTGTTAGGAACCCTCTCGTGATAACCCACGCCTGCAATAATGGCATTAATGTACTCAGGAGGCAGAACCCTCGTGACCTAATTCTTTCAAAGGTCCAGCGCCTCAACAGTGCTGCACTGGGGATTGTTTCCAACACATTTGGGGGAACACATTCAAACCATAGTCAGGTTTCAGTCCAAAGAATAATTATTCTTCCCAGTTCATCTTGTGGTCATGTGATCTTAAAGGGCTCTTTATAGCCATTAGAATTACCTTACTTAAGCATTTAAAAATTTTTGCCAAGTCCTAAAATATTTTTTAAAGTAGCAGACTTTATTTACAAATAAATATACATTCATCAAAAATATCCACACATCACAGGTGTGTATAGAACAACACTGAAAATCCTCTGTCCTCTTACCCTACTCCTCAGATTTAACTAGTGCTAATTTATTAGAGTTAGGTCTTCCTGGCAGAAGACCTAATTTAATTTCTCCCTATAGGTACATATAAATAAATATACACATCCAAACATATACAAGTGTGGGGACATACAAAAAAAAATAATAAACAAATAAATCTCTACTACCTCCCAGATTGGCTTTTGCTCTATCTGAATTGTACTTATCCAGATCCGGAAGGCCAAACTCCAGTCCTTATCCCCAACCCCAGAAAAACAAGCCTACCCATTGTTTCCTCCACAGGTTTCATTCTTACCCATCCTGGAACGCCCTCCCTAATTATGCCTTCTTAGGAGCCTCTCCCAAGGCTCATTTCCTCCACGCTGACTCCTTGCACCTGGTCCTAATCTGGTGTTCCCGAAGTAAAGCAAGGCTGTCCTTGAACAGAAGCAGCACTGGGCCGAGAGCCTGGAGCACAGAGCATCTGCCATTATCCTGTCGGGAGAACACAGATGTTCTCTGCCAGAGTTCTGGTGTGCCCATTTCTGCCGATAAACATTACTTTAGATGAGCCAAACAATAAGGAGCTGAGGCCCGGGAGCC